TCCATTTTGTATCACATTCCATTGTACTGTAGACATAGAAGTCTTTGTCAGTCTTATAACTCACAATTAATTTAAATCTCAGCCATGAACCTCTGAATTTTCCAGTCTCTTATTTTCATATGACTTACTATGTAATATACACTATTCAAACAGTTTGACAATTACTGCCTCTACATTTCCAGTCTTCCATGTAAACAAAGGCCACAGGAAGACATGGCTTATCATTACAAGTTACATGATATTGGTTGAGCCACATCTGCACCAGGCCTTAGTTTCCTCAGCTATAGAAATGATAACTACATGTATCCTTTGCTAGCTCTCAGGATTGTTGCAAGGATTAAATAAGATTTTTTAAAACTGTAAATAATAATACAAATATAAGATATCATGAACTAAAAAACAGATTATATATTCAAAAGACTAAGAAACAAACTATCATATAAAATTACAAACTGAGTTTTTAAAAGTTGGATTTAGATGAATTATAACTTAGGTATGTTGGAGAATGAAAAAAATCTATATTTTTGAGAAATAAAAGGCTTCCAATAGCAACAAAAATCTCTAAAATGATATGATCCACAGTTTTAACTTATCCTCACTTTGGAAGAAAAATTGATGATACTTGTGTATCATTTTATAACTTTGGTAAAATGTTAAATCACTTTATAATAAGCATCCAACTATATTTTGGAATTTAAATCCAAAGGTATTATTTCCTAAATATATTTTATACTTAAATCTTAACTAATCCCTAAGTTTTCCTAAGTTATTTGTTAAATCTCATTTTTTTATATTATGTAACAAAAACTGTCCTTGACTGCAAGTCCAAAATTCTCATTTCAATTAACTAGACCTCTCCAGCCGTCCCCTCCCCCATGAAAAAACCACCATACCACTTAATTGTTATAAATAGCAAAACTGGGTTTCTTCCTTTCTGGCTAATCCTTATGTGAAACCATAATAAAATTTGGAGAAAGGGGGCTAAAAAGGGGGGAAATGGTTTTTCAGTTTATAATCTAGATCAGGCTGTCTAAATGCAGCACTGGAACATGGCCACACCCATATTATCTAGGGCTGCTTTTGCAGCAATGGCAGAGATGAGTTAATAAAGACATTCGCCTTGACAGAAAATGTTTACCAAACAATGAGCTAGACAATCAATACTAAAAAGAAACAAATTCCAAACAATAAAGAATTTAAATTAAAAAAAAATTCCAATGAGTCAAAATGTTTTCATTTATAATGAGATTAATATTTGCTTCTATTCGATCTAGATAACTTATTTTGGTTCAGCTGGGATGTGATCAATCTGACTACTTCTTACCATCTCCACTACTAATAACCTGGTCCAAAGCCCTTGGATTACCATAATTCTCTCTCATTTGATCTTGTTGTCTCATTTAATCTACTACAGTCTATCCTCAAACACAGCAGTCTGACCAATCCTTTAAAAAATTGTCCCATATGTCTTTCCTTTGCTCTATGTCTTTCAATGACCTTTCATTGCATTCTGAATAATAGCCAAAGCTTAAAATGGCCTATAAAGCCTTATATAATTTGGGACATATTATTTCTTGCCTCATCTTTTATTACTCTCCCCTTCCCTCATTCCCTCTTCTGCTGAACTAACCTCCTTCCTGTTCCTTGAACAAAAAGCCAGGAATATTCTGTATTAAGTCTTTTATAATGGCCATTCTCCCTGCCCAGAACTTTGGGTTTGTTTATTTTTTTGTGGGGTTTTGTTTTTTTGGTTTGTTTGTTTTTTGTTTTGTTGTTGTTGTTGTTGTTGTTGTTGTTTCAGTTATCTGTGTTACTAACTCAGTTACTTAAAGTGGTTGCTCAAATCTCATCTTCAAACGAGGCCCATCCAGGCTACGCCATTCCATAACTCCCTATTTCTTTACCTTCTAACTATTATATACATTTAATTTTTGCTATATTATATTTATTATTTGTCTTCTCTCCCACCCTACTAAATCTAAGCTGCAGAGGCTTGGAACACTTGTAGTTTGTGGGAAGAAGGGAGAGGAGAATAAATGATGCTTATGAATAAGGAGGTAGAAAAATATATGCTTTTCCTCAACTGAGTAGAAGCAGAGCAGGCAGGAGAGAATAATTTTCCAAGTTAAAAAACTTAAAACTCTTAAATTATGTGACTTTTTCCTTTAAAATAAAAACTGGCAAACTCCCCAAAACTCTACTCTTTAAAAGAAGGAAAAAAAGGATTTTCAGGAGAGGAGAGAATTATCTAAAACTGCCAAATGATTTTTAAAAAACAAACAACTATGTGACACTCTTGAGACCTGTTGTTTAACATATTATCTAAAAATGCCAAATCAATTAAGACAGGGGGGTGGGGGGCGATACTTTGTACTATGTAAACTCCTGCAGCTTACTGTTTTAACACATCAAAATAATTAACAAGACCTGCCCTAGAATTCAAGTATGCCTATTCCAAAACCTGCTCGATAATTGGGGCATCCTCCCATACAAAGTTGTGGGTCCAATTCCTGGTCAGGGCACATACCTAGCTTGTGGGTTCCATCCCCAGGTGAGGCACATATAGAAGGCAACCAAGTGATATATATATCCCATCCATCCTCTCTCTCTAAAATCAGTAAAAACATATCCTCAAGTGAGGATTTAAAAAAAACAACAATTTAACATGACCAATCAATATAGTTTCATAAATGAAATATCCCTACATAATTTTATAAATATTTACTCCAAACTACTGGCATCTATAACTTGCTTCCAACTGACTATTGAGATTACAGTTGCCAATTCAAAGCACAGTTACAGACTGAATTAAAGCCAAAGTTAATGTCACATTATGAATGCAGTAAGGCAAGTACAGCAGAGCAGTGTCTCTTGTTCCTAGTCCCATAATCCCAAATGACTGCCACAGCAATTGTTCACAATGGATTCTGTCTCTAAGAATGAATAAATTGAATAAAACGGTTAATATAGCAAAACCAGTAACAACATCCTTCTGATTCAGAGATGCAAACTTAAAACATGTATTTGATTGCCTGAGACCTTGATCAATGTAAGATCTTGAAGAATTACATATACACAATATAACTGCACTCTCTAAAAAGCCAAAAAATAAATAAATTCTTTATTTTGAAATGGTATTGATTGAATGAATCTTGTTAAGGAACTTAGGTTGATTACAAGATGGCAGAGCATTAGAATGTCATTATAAAGTTCTATTTTAAATAATGATTATCCATCCAATAAATAATTTCTTGTAATTGTCAAGTGCCTACCAGAGAGAGATCTTTGGCTTACTCTACAACCAAACACTTTTTAAATTAAGCTACCATTTTCTGAGTATTTACTATATGTCAGGTACTGTGCTAAGCGTAAGTATAGTTACATGTCTTTAATCCTCACAACAACCCTATAAGATTGACACCTCTATTATCTGCATTTTACAGAGAAGAAAACTGAGGCTTAAATAAATTAAAGAACAGCTTAAACCAAGAACTCAAGTATGCCTATTCCAAAGCCTGCTCTTAACCATTACAAGAACTGCCTCTCTTAATTCTCCTTGAATCTACATTATAGTATTAATATAAATAAAGCTGAATATTATATCTTTTTCTACACTGTAAATATTTAATTAATGTTGGCTAATTCCTGGGGAAGTAAAAGTTTCCTAACCCTCCACAATCTTGTGTACTTTACAGCTGTTCACAATTAGAATAAATAAATCAAAGTGGAAAGTATGTTTTCAAAATAAAATTTGCAAATGTGGGTGTCCAACATTTCAGAAAATATTAGTTACATGACTTAAGCAATTGTGTAAAAAGAGCCAAACTAATTACACATAAATTCACTCGCAATTTCTATCAATTTGTGTGCGACTTTGGCCTGGTCATTTACCTTGCCTTCATGACTCATCTGCAAAAAATAGTGATAGACTAAATAACCTGATGATAATACATTATTATCCTAATTTTACCAGCTGTTAAAAGATAAATATCTGGGAGCCAGAAAGGTTTACTTATACCTGAATTTATATTACAGAATACACATTATGAAGTAGGGACAGATTTACTATGCTAAAAGTCCTCCAAATCCTTTGAGAACAGGTATTCTCTAAAAAAAGTTTTAATAATAATAGTTATAAATAGCTATTATTTATTGGCCTGTTTTACATAAACACCTACATTACTGATACCTTACTAACAAAAGACTATACTCTTAACCTCACTTAAGTTCGCCAGCCTTAAGTCACCTTAAGTGATGTGTCCGCTGTGTTATAGTACTAAAACTTAAGAATTAGGTATAAAGTGCCTAGTGAAGGGCCCGGCACGGTGCATAAATTTAATAAATGTGATTGTTATTTCAGTATTACTCATATTATCAATAAAACTTCTTATATAACTCAAAATCTTGACTGGGTAATTAGACTGCCACAGGAAATGCTATGATTTATATACCTTTTTAACTGTAACTGATACTAAACCATCTCAAAACCGGAGATACTTTGGGTGATAAAAACACTTTGTAGCAACCAACACTGTCTGTATGTAGTGAGTACCATACCTAACCACATAATTAAAACACAAACAACAAAACTGCTTTTGGGATTAGCCATTCTACTTTACAGGGGACTCCCCTCCTTTAAAATCAGACCAAACGCCAATAGCATACAGCCTTGTTAGGTGCCCACGATTCAGGCGACCACAGCCCTTCTCGGGAAACTGACCCCCGGGCGCAGGGCACACCTCGGTGTCACGCAGCCCAGCAGCCACCCTTTCTCCTCTCCAGCCGCAGGGCGGTCCCGGGAGCGGCGGAGGCGCTTCGGACTTTAATGTAACCATTCTCCTCCTCCGCCTCTCCCTCCAGGGCAGGCAGGGCGTTTCTAGCAAGTCCAGTTCCTGAGCGGGGCGTGGGAATGGGGACAGACTGCGGGGCGCGCGAGAAGCGTCACGGCCGGACCCAGAGCAAGGGAGGCGGCGCTGGAAGTGGGAGCCCGGCCCGGGTACCTTGCGTCCAGCGGCAGAAGATGGTGTCAGAGAGACCGGGACTGCTCTTGGTGCCCCACACCAGCTCCACCAGCTCTTTAGTCTGTTCGGACATGATGGGGTACCGGCGAACGGGTCTTGGCTTTCAGGACTCCCGCCCCGGAACATGGGGAAGGGGCGGCTCCGGAGACAGGAGTTGCGGGACGGCAGAGCCAAAGCCGCTGGAAGCTTAGACGCGAGGCCGACGAAAGGAGAAAGACCTGCATGCAGGGACTGCGCCTGTCAAGCCCGCTCCAGCGGCAGCTAAGTTTCCCGTACCGGAAGCACCGAACCACCCACTTCCGGTTCCTCTCTCGCTACCACCCCCACCACACCCAGGAACCCGGGAGTCACCTCCCCGGAAGCGGAAGTGGAAAGAGGTGCGGACCTCTGTGGAAGCCTCTGGTCATCCTGAGCTCAGACCCTGGCCCGAAATGTTTTTGGTTTACAGGGAGGAAGGGAGAGAGAGACATGGACGTCGCTGTAAGAGACAAACATGAATGGGTGGTCCCCTCATGCACCCGACCCGGGAGGAACCCGCAAACTGGGTATGTGTCCCACCGGGAATGGAGCCCGCCACATTTTGGTGTAAAAGGGATGCTCCAACAGCCTGAGCCACACCCGCGGCGGCAGAGTGGAAGCTCTGGTATTGGCAGGCACGCCACATCCGTGGGCGCTGCCATTTTTCTGAAACCCTGGACACTTCCTCTGCACACTGCTGTGGTCTTATCTGGAGGCTAAGTCCAAGCCCTAGGGCAGTGATGGCGAACCTTTTGAGCTCGGCGTGTCAGCATTTTGAAACACCCTAACTTAACTCTGGTGCCGTGTCACATACAGAATTTTTTTGATATTTGCAACCATAGTAAAACAAAGACTTATATTTTGATATTTGTTTTATATAAATGCCATTTAACAAAGAAAAATCAACCAAAAAAATGAGTTCGCGTGTCACCTCTGACACGGTGTCATAGGTTTGCCATCACACCCCTAGGGCCTAGAGCTGTGGTTGGTAAACTGAGGCTCACGAGCCACATGAAGCTTTTTGGCCCCTTGATAAGTTTAAAAATTTGGCTCTCAAAAGAAATTTCAATCGTTGTACTGTTGATATTTGACTCTGTTAACTAATGAGTTTGCCAACCACTGGCCTAGAGCATAGCCTAGTCTTTAAAACTTGTAATATTTATGCTAAGACCATGATTGAGTCTCAGTGAAGAACCATGCACATTTGTGTCGAGATCCGCCCATTAGTTTGAAGGCCGTCAGCCTCTGTGCCTGGAGAAATCATATAAAGTTGAACCAACTATTAAAAGCATAAACAAAAACATAACCAAACGTGGCATAATGTGTATTAGAAATGTCTCTACCAGGTGTAACGCAGAATGACAAAGCTATTTTTAGGAAAACAGATTGAAAGTAGCCTGTTTGTAAATGGTAGAGCATTCTCATTTCTACTTTTTGAGACTGTAGGGTGTATAGGAACACCTGAGCTAAAGTCCAGGTTTGAATCATTGTCAGGCATTCAGTTAAACTTAGTGGATGTGGAAACTTCTCTTTGTGCTGCTTAAAAAGAAGAGATCTTACCATTCTCTGACCTTTGAATTTTAAAAAGGACAAAATTTGTTGGGTTCCTTACAGTTTGCAAATAAGAGGGTTTTGCTAATTTATGCTTTATTGCTGACTTCAGCAACCTTTACTTTAGTTAAAAAGAATTGTTCAAAGTGCCTGACTCATAACCATAGACTTCCTCCTAATTTTTACTTCCTTTACACTATTTTTTGTAAACCAACCTTACCTATTCTTCAAGATTTAGTAAAAATGCCACTTTTTAATAAAGCTTTCTTCAGTCCTTACCATCTCTAAAGTAAAAACTTTGGCTCCTAAAATTTCATAGTACCTACCTTATCTGCTTATGACAATTACTGTCATTCTTATATTTGCAAAGAATTATTTACTCTTCCCCAAGATATAAATTTATGGAGGCCAAGGACCTGTCTTATTCATAGTAGCTAGTATGGAACCTTGAACAATGCTGGATTTCAGTAAGTATTAGTGAAGGAATGGAACTTTACTGTAACTTAAGAATTCACTATCTTCCTGCAAATGAGGGATCAGGGATATAGTATTGACTAGTACACTTAAATCCTATATAATAAAAGGCTAATATGTAAATTGTCCCCTCAACCAGGAGTTTGACCAGGGGTCGGGGCCGGCCTGCCAACCACCTGGAGCCCCTCCCACCAGCTGGCCCAGCCTGATCGACCCCGATTGGGGCAGGCCACCCAGACCCCCCCCCACCTGTGCACAAATTCGTGCACTGGGCCTCTAGTGTCTAATTAATTTGCATGATGGTTTACAGCTTGCATAATTATTTCTCTTCCTGAAAGATAAAGGGTTTGTGTTCATAGAGCCTAAAAGAGGCATATCTCTAAAATCATAATTCAGAGGTCTGCCACACTTTTGCTTTCCATTAATATATAGAAATATAGTACATCACAGTCATTTTCTTCCTATTAATATACAGATAGATTTTATTAACTATCTATAGATAAGGAGAAAAAGCTATTCTTTTAAAATGTAGTTTTAAAAGTGGAATATTTCTTGCCAGGCTGGTGTGGCTCAATGGTTGCATTTAGACCCATGAACCAAGAGATCACTGGTTTGATTCCTGGTCAGGGCAAATGCCCAGGTTTTAGACTTGATCCCCAGTATGGGGCATGCAGGGAGTAGCCAATTGATGTTTCTCTCTCATCAATGTTTCTATATCTCTATCCCTCTCCCTTCCTTTCTCTCTCTAAAATAAATCAATAAAAACATGTTTTTTAAAAAAATGGGATATTTCTTGCCCTGACCTGGTGTGGCTCATTTGTTTGGAGTGTCATCCCTTACACCAAGGAGCTACTGTTTCCATCCCCAGTTGGGGTTGACATACTAAAGGGAGGCCAGCAAGTTAACCAGAAATCAGTAGGCAGAGATTCCTGGATAATACCCTCAATAGAGAGAGTGACTCCAAGAGAAACCCAATTAAGGGAAGAGCCTCAGGGGTCAGGTCAATGGGAATCTTAACAAACTACAGGTTTGTGACCTTGTCAAAAATTATCCTAGACACAGAAATAATTTCAAATCAGCACCTAGACTTGGCAAATGGTATAGAAGCTCTCTGTTACCATGATTTATCCATTTCTGGTATTTTAACACATATGACTATGCAAGATCACACCAAGGGTATAAGTTTAACCCCTCAGAAATTAAAAAGGTATAAACCTGCCATCTTTGAGAGGGACAGTGAAGGACAGGAAAGAGACCTGGGTTTCCATCACATATCTGCTATTAATTGGCGTAGCACCTTGGGTTACTAACTCTCAGAGTCATGATATCCCCATCTAGAAATGACCAAGTGGCCAACCTCCAAGAGCTCTCCAAACTTGAAGAATCTATTACTTAATAAACCACTTACTTAGGCAGTTCCCTGGTGCCTCCAGCAGTCATTTTGGCAGTTTGCACAAAAGGAACCTCATATACAATGCCATCTTCCCTCTTTTCTTTACAATTCCCACCTCTAGAAAATACAAACACCCTGCCAACTCTGGTCCTTCCCACAATTACTGCAATAGTTTGCCTTGAATTGGAAGGGAATGTCTATGATCAACCAGCACCCAAATAATTTATTTCATCATCTTATCAACAGACCAACACAAATGTTTGTAAGCTTGAACACTAAACAAGAGATTAATCTGAACTGTCTTTGGGATTAAAGAAATAACGTATTGAATATTAAACTTTCAAACCACACTGTATTTTCTAGTCATTTTTAAGGTAGGTGTAAAGATTCTTCTGATCATATACTGGATGTAAACAATGTTCATTTCACATCTGGGACTGAAGTTCAAAATTTGTAGATTGTTGGTTATGGCTTGGAACAAATTTTCCCATAGAAACAATATTATGTTACTATAAAAACCTATTTAATTCATAAAACAGCTGGACTGTTGTACTAATAATATAATGGAATTTGACCACCCTTTATAATTGTCTCTATTAGAAAATGTTCCATGTCAGGCTGCCAGCAGTAGCAGACCCCTTGTAAGGGAAAACTGTTCCCATATCTTCCCCCCTAAGTGGACTCTGGGAGGAGGTGGAAAGGGCTCTGGTGCCCAAGTGCTGCTGGGGCAGAGTTTGGGATGGGGAGACTGGAAGGCTGTCAGCTGGTGGAGAGAACCAAGAAGAGAAGGGCCTAGTGAACCAGTAGTGGAGACTGGAAATGGGACACTGCTTGGCGGGCCATAAACTGAGGGTTTCTGTTGGCTGTGCTTCCCATGAGAGAACAGTAAGAATTTCAGTGCAGCCAGTTCTGGTGACAGGTCCAGAACAGGAGACAGGCCCTGACGGGAAAGTGGGAATGACATTGCTTATTTCTGTGCTCTGAGTGTCTGTATTCATGAGAAGGGACTGCTGGCCTTCCTGGGGACTGGGAGGGCTCCATTCCTGGGTGACTGGGTGGTCTCCTTGATCAGAGCCTCATGCTAAAGTATTGTTTTTACTCCCTCTATAGGAGAGCCAGTTAGTATCTTCAAAGAAAATGTTTTTGTTTTCTGGCTATAAACTGTATTCTTGGATAGTTTCTGTTAGTTGCATGCTGCTTATTAAGGAGAGCATTGGAGTGGATGGGTAGGTCACCATCACTGGAGAAAGAATTCAAATCAGGTGAAAGTTTATTTTGTGTAAACTACAGAAAGAACGAAGAAATAGCCTATTTGGACAGTTTTCTTTGGAAATTTAGGGAGACTAAATATTTAAAATTTTATCAGTTAATATCCAGTGTTAAAATTTACACACATGGGAATCAGTGATAAAAATGTGTATACACCCTCTTAAAATTAAGCTTTGAAAAAATTGAGTAGAGCAAATTCAAATTTATCTTTAGGGTAGAAATGATCTTTTAGTTAACCTATTTGTAGTACCTGAATTTTTAAAAATCAATTCTACATATCAATTACATAAGTGTTTGATGTTTTAAATTAAAATTTCTGAGGCCTGGCTATATAGGCTGCTCTGAAATCCTCGTGTTCTTTTAGAATTTCCTTGCTTTCTATTGTGTTTTTCTCTTTCTTTTCCTTCCACACAAGTTCCAAGGAATGGAACAAATAGACAAAAGAGCCATTTGTCTTCATTGCTTTCTGTCTTTACATTTTGTAGCTTTTATTTTAAGGTTCTTGGTAGGTGGGACATTTAGGAGGTCAAAGTGAACCAACCTCATCCTTTAGCTATTTGACTCAGGGCTAGTATTTAACCT